CAGTGCCTCAGCTTCAAAAGCAGCATCAAGAAGAGGCCTTAGTAATGCCTGATGTGTTTTGGGAATAACATGGAGCAAGTCATGCAGTAAAATGGCACTTGTGCAACTAAAACACTGCTACTTAGTCAACCAAATGGGAATTGAATGCCACCCATTGTGGTTCGGGGTTTTGCCCAGTGAATGGGAGACAGGTTTTGGACCCCGTCTGCCCGAAAGGGAGCCTTAACCTGTATCTCCTGCTTCCTACCAAAGCGCTCAAACCAACACCCCATGAGCTGGTGGTGGCAGAGCACCCTCCAGCTGTCCTCATGCCTACAGTATTGGAGTGAGCAAAATATAGCTCAGTTTCTGTGACAGAGAGTTAAACCGTGAATGGGGAGCGGGGAGCGATGCTTGGAAAACGAAGCAGACCAAGTCGGTTTAGGAATAAGATGCACATTTTTACAGTAAGGCTAATTAACCATTGGAAGAAACATCAAGGGGAAGTGATGGGGCTTTCCATCTTTAGATGTTTTCAGATACAGACTAGAGACTTTACTGAATGCTGCTTTAATCAAAGAAAAGTTACTGGGTTTAGTATACTGGAAAATGGGTGAAATCCCAAGTGTGTTAGAGAGATCAGATCATAGAAATTAAGGGCTGGAAGGCACCTTGAAAGATCATTGAGTCCAATCCCCCTGAATACTGCTGACAGCAAATGATCCCCGCAAGGTGTCTGTCCAGACTCCTCTTGAGGACTTCCAAAGTTAGGGACTGCACCACCTCCTTGGGAAGTCTAGTCCAGAGTTTGGTCACCAAATTATCTCCGTCACAGAAAGACTTACTTCTGGGCAGATTTCTAGCACCTGGTACTCTATCATGATACCAGAAGGCATCTTTGCATTTGCAGTATGGGCTGCAACTGGAATGGCACTGAAGCTTGGATTTGTCAGCTCTTTAGGGTAGCATTAGCACAGCTGAAGGGTAAATGGTGTAGTTCCCTCGAAGTTCCCTTGTACTTGTGGTACACCAGGGCAGGACGTGGCCCTGGATTGTATGTTGATGGAAGGTTGATTGACTTTATTCATTTTGCATTTTGCCTGCCAGGTGTCAAAGGGTCTGTACCGGTTGCTGATTGAGCTGTGCATTCTGCGACACACCCAGAGCCCCGATGGCTTGGTCTGGAAATGCAAAGCTTCCCACCTGTACTTGATTGAGTACATGGTGAGAGGCAAGGGCATAAGCAGCACACGAAAACAAGAGGTATGGTCAAAACGGGGCACCGAAGGCAGTGCCCTGAAGATAACAGGATTGCTCGAGAAACTCAGTTCGGGCATAAGACAGCAGTAGGTCCAAGTCTGGTGTAATGCTGAGCGTGCTTTGTGTATCCAAGTAAATGAAAACAATTCTCTGCTCCCATGCACCTGTGGAGTCATTGGACCATAGAAATAATGGAAAGCGAGGGTGGGAAGGGAGCTCAGGAGGTCACATCTAGTCCATCACCCTTCTCCAAGCAGGACCGGCCCCAACTACATCATCCTACCCAAGGCTTTGTCAAGCCGGGCCTTAAAACCCTCGAAGGATGGAGCTTCCACCACCTCTTTAGGTGACCTCTTCCAGTGCTTTCCTACCCTCCTAGCACGAGAGTTTTTCCTAAAATCTATCTTAAAATTCCCCGCTGAAGCTTAATACCATTGCTCCTTGTTCTGCCATCTACCACCACTGAGATCAGCCTATTTTCATCCTCTTTGCAACCACCTTTCAGGGAGGTGAAGGCTGCTATTAAATCCCCCTTAGGTCTTCTCTTCTCCAGGGTAAATCAACCCGGCTCACTCAGCCTCCCCTCATGATTTCTTAGTTTGTTTGTGCAACTAGAAAGTGTTAATAATCATTTTAATTCCTTATCGTTTTCCCTGTAGATGACCAGTACCATGGAGAGAGAATTTCTAGCTCTTCTTCCAGCTGTGAAATGTGTATCGCCAGTAGAGGTATTAGAGGTCCTTGGAAAGTCCAGTTCTGGCACTGATGTTGCAGTGGAACGGCAGCTGTTGGACAGAGGCACATTCAAGGGTGAAGCCTTCCAGAGGTCATATCAGTATCTCAGGCGCTACCAGAATCACCAAAATCTTGACCGATTCAGTTACAGCCCTCAGACCGTGGAAGGGACTGAGGAGGAGTGTCTGAGGCTCTTGCTGCAGTTCTGTGGGCGGAAAAACCCTTCCTGGACTGAGCTCAGCAACTTCGCTCAGTTCCTGAGCCTCCAGCTGATGAAGTGCGAAACCTCGGTGTTCTGCAGCGAAGCAGCAGGACGAGAATTTGGGGGCTTTAAATCATTTGTGATAAAGTTCATGATCGCCATGTCCAAGGACTTTGCCATGCCTTCTCTAGTCATGTCAGATGAAAGCTTTCCAAGGGGAGAGGGTAAAAAAGAGGAGGACAGCGTGCTGACAGGGTACCAGTTAAGACGCAAGTGGGAGCAGGAGTCTCACCCTTATATAGTCTTCCATGCTGATAACCACTCCATGGAGTTCTTGGGTTTCCATATCAATAAGAACTATGATGCTGTTGATGCATATTCAGGGTCAGTTTTAGAAAAGAAAGTAATTGGGTATAGATTATATCACATACTTAGTGTTCAAAAGGTGCCTTTCAATAAGAAGTTTGAAGATCTGCCCAGGCAAGAACAGCTGGAAACTCTCTGCAGCATATTTGGTGTGAAACGCAGCCAAGATCCAGATGAATCCTACAAGCTGACTCTGGACAACACGATGAAAATGCTGGCCATTCACCTGAGGTTCCAGTGTGGGATCCCTGTGATCATCATGGGTGAAACGGGTTGCGGGAAGACCAAGTTGGTGCAGTTCATGTGCAGCTTGCAAAGAGCAGGAAGGGACATTCAAAACATGATGCTGGTGCGTGTTCACGGAGGCACTAGCTCCCACGTCATCCACCAGAAAGTCAGGGAAGCAGCTGAGCTGGCACAGAGGAACGGAGAGGAGCACGATGTGGACACAGTGCTGTTCTTCGACGAGGCGAACACAACAGAAGCCGTGTTTGCCATTAAAGAGGTCTTGTGCGACCACAGTATAAATGGAGAACAGATCCCCACCACCCGCTTAAAAGTTGTGGCTGCCTGCAACCCCTACAAGAGGCACACGAAGGAGACCATTGAGAAGCTAGAGAAAGCCGGGTTGGGGTACAGAGTTCGCAGTGAAGACACCCTAGAGAAATTGGGCTACGTTCCTTTGCGGCAGCTGGTGTATCGGGTGCAGCCGCTCCCCCCGAGCATGTTGCCCCTTGTTTGGGACTTTGGGGAGTTAAATGAACAGACTCAGAGTCTGTACATCCAGGAGATCGTTAGATCCATTGTGAAGGACAAGCTTCCTGGAGAAAAAATGGATATTTTCACCTCTGTTATTCTGACCTCCCAGAAGTTTTTAAGGGTGAACAAAGATGAATGCAGAATTACCAGTCTCAGGGATGTTGAGCGCTGCATGAAGGTGCTGCTGTGGTTTTACAACCTAAAAGACCTGCTTTTTCCTCTTATCGACCAAAAGAGCGAAGCTCAGCACTCAGACTCGTCCAGCTCAGCCACTCCCTCCGATGAATGTGAGAAAGGTCAAATGCCTCCGCTCAATGCAGCACAACGCTCCTTGGTTCTCTCCATGGGGGTTTGCTATTACATGTCTCTTGAGCGTGGTCGCCAGGATTACCTGGAAGCGATAGCAAAGTGCTTCTCTCTCCCTGCAGGGCTCCTTC